CCTGCCTGCGCCGGGGCTCGGTGCCGGCCGGGGGCTCCCCGGGGAGGTGCGGGGGCCGCGGGACCGCCGCCTCCCTGACCTACTTTCCCGGCCCACGGAGACGTCGGTGCCGGAGCAGAGGGAACAATGCAGAGAAGCGGCGCTCGCAGGGAGAGCCGGGAAGGCCTAAATGCGAATAAAGCCAGCGAACGAGCTTTGATCTTTATAAAGTGTAGAGGGTTTTAATTTCAGAAACGGCGCGGCGGCGCGAAAAATAGCGGGACGCTCTGTTTTTTAGATAAAGTGCGTGAATTCTCGTCCCGCACGTGAAATTTATTGCTTTTAAAGGGATACACCTTGGGCAAGCTAACTGATGAAGCAGCGTAAAACACGTAGATGTGCCCGCCTTCGCAGCGGCTCCCGGCTCTGCCCCGCACCACTCGGAGCGTGCCGACGCGTCCGCGGGCAGCGGTGGGAGCGGGCTCGCCTCTCTGCCCGCCGCGGGGTGGGTGTCCCCAACCCGCCTGGCGCGAGGACCGAGGGCTGCCTGCAGGTGCCGAGGACCCCGGCCGTCTCAGCCTTCATCCCCGCTCCTCACCCTCTCCTGCTCGAGGGGGAGAAGCCTCCGGACCGCTCCGGCCGGGAGAAAAACCAGGGGGGGACGGCTGCGTGCGACGCGGCGGTTCGCCTCCCATCGTGCCGGCGCGATGCTTCTGCGAGGCTTTCGGCGAGGGGGAACATATGTCCCGCGGTCGCTATACATCACGTGGGACTGCAGCTGTGCGCGCAGGAACGCTCGAACGTGAGCGCGACCCGCAAACGTCTGGCAATCGTTCAGAAAGGGAGCTTAATCTGTTTTCATCTAAGCCCGTTTTTCTCTTGCCTGCAACATCCCCGTGATGTTGCGTTTGATTCTGGATCACGGTGTAGCATGAAGATGTCAAAAAAAAAAAAGAAAAAATTTATCCAGGTTGTCAGCAAAAAAAAAAAAAAAAAAGGCCATTTCTGAGGTATTTTTCCCTGATCGCTGTTTTCAGAGGCTTTCAGATTATAGGCTTCAAGGCCGTTTTCCTTTAATCTGAATTAACGTTCTATTAGCAAAATGCAGCACTCGGGCTCTAATCTCGCCTGTTTCTGTAACAAAGGAAAAACAAAGTATCTTTTTGTAAACATATTTCCTGCCTGTTAGGTCTGAAACAAATATTTAGGTGAAATTCATGTGATTTTCATCTGAAAAGCAAAACTTCAGGTTTGCAATGGAAACGACGTTTGTTTTTTCCAGGAGGGGTAATATCATATCCATATGGATATTACTTTGTCATAGTACGTGCATATTTTCTCCCTACCCAGCTTTAATTCTTTGTCTAGTTATTCAAATTTTGGAGGCAGGATTCACTAGTCGGTGACTTCTTTTACAAATTGCTAGAAAGAGGACAGGATTGTGTGTAACAATGAGGAAAGCAAAAACATTGCAATTGATAAAAAATACAGCTGCGTGGCTCAATGGGAGAACGGATTTTACTCTGTTGCCTTTTTTTTTCCTTCTGTGATTGTTTTTAGCTCAAACTCTTAAGGTTCAACTGGCAAATTCAATGTATTATTAGCTTTGTTTATTATGGAACAAATAGACTGCAAACCGCACGGGTCTGCGAGTACAGTAGATGCTATAATGCAAGAATATGCCCGCAGGATTTATACGGATGAGCTCAAAGGTTCGCCCCGTCTTGCGTCCTGCCTGCTGTCCTGCTCGCACCCAAAGATAACCCGCTCCCAGGGTGCAGAACGTATACGCACATTAAACCCCTAGCGAAAGACCGGAGAGGAGTTTGACAAATGTAACACTTGGCTTTTAAGCTCATCATTTCTTAGCGGTAAATATTAACTTTGATGCCTAATAGTTCATTGCGTTTCTAAGATCCAATTTGGAGCAAAAGCGAGCTCCAAAGGCTGTGTAATCGATGGCATTGTGGTTTGTAAACGTTTTATCTCTCTCTTTGTTGCAGGCCATTAGCAGTGTGACATGTAGGCTGAACAGTAATAAATGCCCATTGTTCCTTTTACAAGCATCTCGGAATAAGAACATATATATTTTTACCTTGGTTTTCCTCCCCGGAGTGCTGGGTGAGGGCCCCTTAATGCAGGAGCCCACCTCTTTTTTACCTTGTAAGAATGTCTCTGTCCCATAGCAGACAAAGGAGGGAGCTTTTCTCCGGTTTGGGTTGGTTGTTTGTGGGTTTTTTCTTTAAGAGAGTGAAGAAACGAGGCCCTGACAGTTGCGGTGAAAATTTTTGAGATGCGTTTTTAAAAAAAAAACAACCAAAACTCAATCTCTGCCGTAGAAAATGCCCTTTGCGACATAGCACTTGGACGCGAGCTGTCGCTCGAGCGTCGCTCGGGAGCGCGCTTTGCGCGCGGGGCTGCAGCCCGGGTCCCCGCCTGCCCCCGCAGCGGGGACCCCAACCCTGGGGTGGGGGGACCCCCGCCGGCACCGCCAGCCCCCGGGACAGCGCCGGGCCCGGGGACGCTTTCCTGGGGGGAAAGTGTGGAGGCGGCGGTGCCGACCAGCAGCTACCTGTTAGGTCAGGGGGAAGGAACCGTCCGGAGAAGGTGCAACCGGTGGCCTGGAGGAGTGTTCGGCCGCTCGCCGAACAAAAGGCGCGCAGCCCTCGAGACCCGTACGTGTGCTCCCTCCTAACAGACCAAGGCGAGTTTGGGGGTCCTTTTCTGTAGAAACCTCTGCATCTTCTTGTAGAGAAAAACATTTGGGTGAAAATACACAAAAACAACATAGGGTCTGTGTATGTTTTATGCTCCTGAAGTGAATCTTGTTTAATCTAAAATAGTTTGCAAACGCTGTCTTATCTACGTTGGTTTTTTTTAAGTCAAATGAAATGTAGTAGGCTTGGTATAGGAATTTATACAGCTGATGGCTCTAAGTCTTTCAGACTACCCGACATATGGATAAACCATGCACAGATTTAGCAGGTCTGTCTTTATGTTAAAACGTATACGTGATAAAAATATATGACTGAAGAGAATTTCTGCGGTTAGCGCTGTTTCATTCTGAAATGCTCCGAGACATTCAATAAAATTACATTTATTTTCAGAGGATATTCACAATGAATCGATAACCCTTTTTTCCAGAGAGTTTTTGCATATATTTCTCTACCATTATGCAATAGACTTGCAACCATTTTTGCCGGTGCAGGTGTTGTTTATTAAAAGGAGCATAGTCATTGCAGGTGTATATTAGACATTAGCTGAACGTAAAGATATTAGCAAAAAGTGCCTTCTGACTGGCATTTTTATATTTTTACGTCTCGGAGGGGTCTGTAAAGGCAGATGCTAGGCTGCACACCAAGAAAGGGTTTCAGCCCCAATCAGTCAGAGCCCATTTGTCCATCCCTTGTCAGCGAGTCTCATTTAGTCTCTCTGGGAAAAAGAGGAATATAGTTTTCTAGAATCAAAAGTTATCTTTAAATGTTTTTAGAAGTATAGTCAAGGAGTAAGGATGTTTTAATTTCTGATTTTCCAGCTCATGGGTCATATTTGACCAACTGCTTTCAGCAGAAGACATGCCACTTTGTTGAGCTATTTAGGAATCAAAAAGACTGTCTTAATTTAAAACAAGGAGCCTTTGTTTTAGTTGGTGACTGCCTTGTGAAATTTTTCAGTTCTCAGCGGGTTAACCAGGGAACAGGGGCAGAGTCATAATTGGCCTATTTAGAGTATTTTGCATGTGAATAGTGTGTTAGTGAAGCATTACTAAGTCTGTTGTGAGTGACATGGTGATTAGAATTTAGATTAGGGAAAACACATTCTGTACTTTATCAAGTACAGTAATTAGTTCAGTCAGTAAAAGTTGATTACAAGTAACGATAAAGTTAGATTTTTGGTACTTAATTTTAAAATTTCTTTATTAAATGGTAAATTTGTTCTTAATATAAATGGTAGTATCTACACCTGTTATATTGCGTATCAGAATAATTAAAAGAACAATGTGTTCAATGCAGAGTATAATCAGGGGATTTATATATTATGGGTAAGTTTCAACGTAGTTTATAGCAAATAGAACATTACTCAGGAAATTGTTCTTCTGTCATAGTCTCTTAAAGATTTATAATTTTTCTTATAGCGTGGGTCAGATAATGTTTTCTGTTGTTTCATAGAAACCATAGTCCTTTTGTAGCTGAGAAAACGTTGCATTTACTGGGATGCATCTTGTTAGTTAATGGTACAGGCATAAAATGGATATATTGAAAGTCCTTTGCTGCTGCTACTGCTACTGCTATACAATAGCGTTAATTGTTTTTGGTTTTCTGAGGTGCTTTTTCTTCTGATAGCATTGCAAAAAATATTAATAATGCACAATTTCATTTTCACGTTTTAATCACATATTATGTACAGCCTGCTGTGCAGATTTTTATATTGCAAAACCTGATATATTTAATTCACAGATATGAATTTTTCCTTGCACGGGGATAGACAATGAAGCTGTTTCATGCACACTGAAGCAACCGCTCTATCAACAGCAGGATTTTTTTTTTTTTTAAGTTTTATTATTGTTAAATCCGTGCAGTTAACTGTCTTGTTTGCAGTGAAGAAACTAAATTACCTTCAAATATATTAACAGAGCTCCAAAAGTTTTTAAAACACTGATTGCATTTGAATAAGTAGGCAATAAGTCTCCTTTAAATGTAAATAATCGTATTTTAAATTAATTACTTTGTGTTTTCCAAGTAAAGGAAGAGAGGCTCAACTGGAAATTTTTGTGATGTCTCCTTTAAAGATTTGGCAGGTTCTTGTTTCCATGTTTCAGTTGCTTATGAAGGTTTCTTTGCTGTGTTATTTTTAGGAATGAGAAATAGCTAATGATGAGGAAAGTCGGATTTAACATGCACACGCACACACGTATATATTTTTAATCTTTTAGCAAAGTCTCCTTGGAGGTGACATGGATATTGGCAACCCAGGAGCGCTCTCCCCCACTAAGCCTGGCTCCCAGTACTATCAGTATTCTAGCAATAACCCCCGGCGGAGGCCTCTCCACAGCACCTCTATGGGTGAGTGACTTTGCGTTCAACCTTTTTTTTCCATTTCAACAAATAATTGGAGTTTCGTCCTGTTTAGCAATACTTTGAAATAAATACAATAAGTGGCAGAGCGTATGTGTACGCCGCCAGGACTCTCGGAGGGGTTTATTTAACGTTAGCTGATTGTTCCTCTCTGTCCTCTTTGTTGAGCACGCAAGGAGCCTTAAAAAATCGCGTTTTCAAAGCAAATCCCTGTAAGGCAAAAACAAAGGGCCTAACACTCGAGATCAAAATATGAACAATTTTCCAGCATTTTGCTGTTGGACGTAAGAGCGGTGGCATCCGCTCGGTGTTACCAAAACTGCTGCAAGCCTGGCGTGAGACGGCGGGCAGGGCGATTAGCAGCTGGCTCTCTTAGAAAATATCTGTGCACAAAAAAAAAAAAAAAAGGGCCTGTCTTACGAAGACACCGTTTTGTCTTTTTACAGAAGTACAAACAAAGAAAGTTCGAAAAGTTCCTCCAGGTTTGCCATCTTCAGTAAGTACCGCTCGTCTGCTCGCTTGCTTGCGATCGCGGTGGCTTTGTTCGGTTGCAGGCAGATAGACACGAACCCGCTCCCGGGCTCGCAGAGCGCTTGGCGCTAAAGGCAGAGGACAAGGTAAGGAGAGTTAAAAAATCTCGCCGCTTGTCCCGACTTGGAAGTGATTAATTGCACGGTGGGGACGAGCGTGTGTTGCCCATGTGGATTTTCAGCGGCGGACGCCGAGGAGCTGCCGTGGGCGCGGGCGGCGCGTACCTGCGCGGGGCGAGCATCCCTTCCGCGTGCCGGTTAGCTTTTTTGTCGGGCTGATGATGATTTATGGCTTTGCATGTTCAAAGAGATGCGCGGAGAGGATTTATGAGAAATTTCTGTGGGTCTCAGCCCGGGATGTGGGGCAAAAGGCTTCGTTTTCACGTGAGGTCTCTGAGCGGTGGTACCTGCGGCAGAAGCTGGCTGGGGGGAGCCCAGGTGTCAACCGCTGGGATCCAGCTGCTGCCAGAGGCATTGTGGGTTGCTCGAGCAATAACGACAGAGCTGGTAATTACCCAGGGTTTTGCCTGATGTTTTAGAGAATATCCCCGATACCTCTTTGTAAGGAGGGTTACGGGTGCCATCCAGCTACGCCGGGCACGCTTTTCAGCGTTTATCGTGAAATCTTCCCATCGTGCAGTCAGAAGTTGGTGTTGCTCTTTGGTGTGGTGAAGTCCTTTGTTTTGTGATCCAACTAATGATTCTATTAATTTTCATTTTTTCATCTTTGTGTAAAATCGTTCTGTTTTTTTTCCTGAAAAAGCTGTACCAAGGTGCATTACATCTTTTGAGAGCGTTTACTTTTAAATCCATTACAACATGTAGAAAATAGCTGTTTTAAAAGAAATTGTACGACATTTCAGTAAATACAGCATGAAGAGTGGTATGGCTAAAGAGTGCATTTTATCCTAGTATTTTTATTCCAGTTTTTTCTCTGCCATTGCTTTAAAAATACATAATACATATTTTCGTATCAATATCTGCAAACAGAAAACAAATCACTCAAGAGGGGAGAGCTTCCCTTTCATACCTGATAACTCTATTTGTTTTATCTCTAAATCTGGTTATTAGGAGGAGCTGAGTGGCAATCAATCTTGCGGAATATATAACAAATTGGCATGTTAATCTCAGATGGGTTTTATGTTTTTGCCATAAATCCACGTAAATTTGCAGTTTGCAAACTAGCATACTTTTAAAGCTTCAGTTATTGCAGTGACTGTGCTAAACGGTAGTTTCGTTACTGGTCACTTTATAAATAATACAATTTTAATCTGAAAGAGAAAAACACATACGAGCATCCTAATTTAATCGCACGGATTGTCGTAATCTTTATAACGTTAAACAAATGCAAACATAAGTCTTTTTTGTAAGTTGCTGAAATATGGAAATTCTCAAATGCAAGTTTCCAGTGAAGCAATAATACTATTTTTTTTAATTAAAAATAAGTTCCCACACGTGTCTTTTAAATTTATTTCACTGTGTGTTTTTTGGTTTGGGTTTTTATTGGACTTCTTTACAGCAATAGCTAATATCCTCCCCAAAGATTTTTACGAGTACTATTATGCTTGAAGTTAGAGGTGGATTTAATTTAGATGAAACTTTAGCTTTTAATAGTTTTTCTGACAACCGCATATGATATATCCCTCCCAGCTCTTTACAGTCGGAGGCAAGGCTGCGCGTAGTAGGGGCAACGCAGAGCCACCGGCACGCTGCGAGGCACCGCGCTGCAGGACGCGGCGCCCCGTTCTGCCCGCTCCCGGCACCCTCCGGCAGCTAGTTGTGATAGCTCAGAAATTGTGCCGGGCTTTTGTTTAGTCATTTGCAAGGAAAAAAAAAAACAAAGCCCACCCCAAACCTGCGTTTTTTATGTTTTGAAATACTGCTCTGTAGACGGGTGACCATCTCAGGACATTTGCAGGGATATTTTTGCCTCCGTGTTATAAAAGGTGCTTTCAGTAAAATGGTACCTGCGATCTGCCCTCACTGCGCGGGGAAGAGTGGCAGCGTTTCTGTTGGAAATGTCAGCGCGCAGGGGTTTATAACTGCTGCAAAAGTTTTTTATGGATTGCTCCTTGCTTCGGAAGAATGAAAGGCAATTTGTGTTTGTCGCAGATTAGACTCAAAATGTGTGCTTCCTTTAGTTTTTTGTGAATACAGTTGTTGTACAGAATGGAAATAACTTCTACAGCTCAGTGCTCTCAACTATTTTAACAGTATTTTTATTTTTAAGTGAAATTATCTCAAAGTAGAATATGCACTTTAAATACTTCAAATTATTTCAATGAGCTGTACAATTTATTAGAAAATAAAATATAGAACGGTATTCTTGAGTATTTTAATCACCCACAGCTCTATCTTCCAGGCATAAGTAAATTAAAATACAAGTCCAGTAATGTGAATACAAGAATAGTATGGTTCTGAAGGAGATATGGCCTTTTTTTAAGTGATCATACAGATAGGTATTTGCGTCTTGTTGTCTTCATGTATCATGAATCATACATTTCATTTGGAATAATACTGCTTTAGAAAGAGCACCTAGGTGTCTCAAACAGAACAAATATCTTATAAAAGGTCGGATTATGTTTAGGTTATGGATTGTGTCACACTGAACTGCCAGGATTTATGATGCTGAATGAAGTATATGCATTTATAAGTTGACTAACTAGATTATAATATACTTAGTTGATAGGGTGGAAATATAGCTGTATTTCTCTTAAAATATGTATATTAACTTGTTCTCAATGTGATTTATGCAGTGGATATGGAGATTAATGCAGCAGCGTTTGTGCAAGCAGTAATTGTTGATTAATTCATAAGTAGTCCTATGAAAATTTCAATGATAAATGGTAATAAATATGTTGTATCAGCTCCCCTTTATTATAAGAAATGGCTACAAGTTTGGAAAACAAAGTAAATTGAACTGTGGAAACAATCAGGGTTTAAAAGCCAGCGCAGGTTGGAACCGCGTGGGGAGCGGGGAAGGCGAGACCCTCGGGGTGCGGGGAGGTGCACCCCCGGGCAGGCTGCGACCGCCCTGCCCGCGCTGGAGCCCTGCGGCCGGTCTCAGCCGCAGCTCGTCACAGCAGTAAGAAACTGGAGACAGACCCGGAGCTGAGCTGGAACCGGAGCGTTGAACTCCAGCAGCTTGGCCTGAACGAAGATGTGGGTCGGGGCGGGCTGTGTCCCCCACCGGCCCATCCCTGGTGCCCGCCCGACCGCCGCGGGGGCTCGGGGGGCTCTTTCGTGGCGCGGGTTGGGATTGGCTTTGCCCGGCGTGCTCGCAGCCTCCCGCGTGGAGCTTCTCCCGCCTCTGGGGTTTCAGGAGTTCACGTAATTTCAGGTGTCGTAACCCGAACGTGTGTGCCCACCCCAGCGTGATCTGCCTTTGCAGGCAGCGGGGCGGGGGGCCGGGTCCCCCCGGCTCTGCCTGCTCCATGGGCACGCGTGGCCTCGCCGTACCCTGGGCTCCTGTCCGTGATATGATGGAACGTGACGTACTTCCCTGGACCTACAGACCCTATATAGTCTCTCTGGGGCAAGGGATTTCACTGGGACCATTCCATACTGGAGTTTCTGCCTTCAGTCAAGAGCCTGGGGAGCTCTGCTCCCGCTCGAGCTGTGCAGTGAGGGTCAGGGTATTTTGGATTGAGCCAACTGGAGATGAGATACAGGCATGACTAGATTGGGAAAAACTAGTTTTTTTCTGTTAAAACTTGATTTCCTTGTTCGAGTGCCCACATGCCTTTACTGAGCTATGAGATGGTAATGTTTTGTACCCAGGCTGGTGCATGGTGCAATCCGGGTGGCTCCTCTGTACGATCGCCTCCTCACCCTCAACTTCATCCTACGGCTTTGCTGTTCTTTTAGTCTTTAACCTGAAGCCTTCATCCATTTTGGCTGCTGATGGTTTAATCACATCTGACCTTTTACAGGTCAGCTGTGCTGGTATGTACAGTTGGAAGCGTCGGTGAAGGAACGGGGTATGGAATGGGAAGTCTTGGGGGGCAAAAGTGAGCAAAGAGGGAAGGGTTTAGGTTGTAGAGGTGATGTTTGAGGGGTGTTTTTACAGGAACTTGTATCATTCTGACTTCAGGCAGTCCACCCCAGTGGCACTGCGGCAGGAAAGTGGTATCCGCCCAGGTGTTGATTTCCAACAGGTAGCACCTGTAATGCAAAACAATGTATTGAGGACAAAAAGAAAGCTCAGAAATGAAGCCTTCACAGAGAGCTTATGATGCACGGTACGAGTGCTTCATTGGCTTTCTTGGAGCAGGATTGCATGCTCCAGCAGAAGGAGGGCTTACCGAGACTGAGGCGGGAGCAGCTCAGAGGAGCACAAGTGGTGACATTGCCTTTGAGCCCCTTGCGTGGCCAAGGCAGGCTTTTCCCCTCTGAGAACGAGGATGGGTGCGTGAGCCCAGCAAGGGCCTTCTGCAGGCTTTCTGCATCTCAAGTTGTTATTCTTTGTGGCCGAGCTTTCCAGTAGCATGCCTGGGTGTAATAAATTGCTCAGCTCATGCATTTCCTCCATCACCAGTGCTTTTTCTTTTGGTATGATTATCATCTAGTAGACGTGCTATCGAGTACAGTCGTTGTGGCACAATATATTCATTTTCCATTTTCCTTCTCCATGGACACTCTTTTCCTTTACAACTGCACCAAGGCCTCCTGCTCCCTTAGCTCCATGGGAAGAGTGGATGGTTGCAGTTGTCTGATCCCCGTTTATGGCAGGCCCGGGAGCTGTAACCCAAACTGAAATCCCACATCCTGCGCTGCTCCTGGAGAGAGGTGTTCAGGCTCTCAACCCGTGCCGATAAATGCAGCCCCTTCCAGGGAGGATCAGAAACGCCGTGCTCTGTGGGCCAGTGCTGCTCGGTGCGGAGTCGGAGGTGCTGGCGTGAGCTGCGGGCTTGTCCCCACGCTCAACCCACAGTTGAGCAGCCCTGTGGGAACAGGCCCTGCAGTC